AGAAAAAAAGTGATATTTTCGACTTCTCGTTGAATACCACAAGTTCAATTGCTTTGATATCATATATATATGTACTACAGGTAGAGCTGTCTCAGATTTGTTCATTTCGTGATGATATCTTTAATTATCTAATTTTGATGAATATTTTTGGTAAAAAGTGATTTAATTCTTGTTAAAAATCAAGTCTAATTGCTTCGATGTCATACATGTAGGTACCACAGATAGACCTCTTTCAGATTTGTTCATTTCCTAATAATATCTTCAGTTCTTTATTTAAAACGTTCAATGAAGCTCCATGTATCTCAGCTGAGAGGCTGCTTGTTATATATTCTTCAATATTTCTGGAAATGAACCCTAATTTTGGAGCCAACAGACAAAATTTGAGTAAATTTTCAGTTTCTACTAAAAAAAAATCTTTTGAAGGCAAGTATAGACAGCACTATTTTGTGAATTTTGATGAAAAGAGGGAACTGGTTAAATATTAAGATTTTTGAACTCAAAACGATAGTTAAATTTTTTAAACCAGTCATTGTGATTTTCAGATTTGTTTGTACCACTGTCGTAGATGATCTTACTAGCATCGTCCAATCAGCAATCATTTTGGTGCACAGAGATTGCTACATACAAGTGTCCAATAGCCAATCACAGACTGTCATTTGAACCTGAATTTATAAATGTTTACAGTAAACAACTTCCATGGGTAATCCAAAATAAGGGTGTTGAACACTGTTGATGTAACATGTATACAAACACGCTTTATCTGTGCTGCATTTATCAAAGTTTAGTTATCTATTGTATTTTTTTTTTTTATTAAAGATAGTCGATCTACAAGACACAAGATATTAATAGCATGATTTATGTTTATCAGTTTTAAGTCGCGCTGTAGTGTATGGGAGGCTCAAAGCAACTTTGAAATCAACACTGCGTTAAGTTATTATTTAGACAATTATATGTATGCTAATTTTGTCAAAAAAACAAATTTTTCATTTTCCAGTAAAATTTATGTTTTTTATTACACATATTTGTGTTGTTTGTCTCTATTCGCAGGAAATTACACATTGCTTTTGTCATCTTAAATGTACATCAGCTTCATTTTTCACCACTTTGTGATTCTCTAGAACATGTTCAGAGATGTTGACTTCATTATCTGATCAGGTGGTTGACCCAGCTGATTTTCCAAAAGATTAGCCAGTTATGAACACATGAAATGAGGGCGCACTTCATCAACCAGTTACTGCTATGGAAAAAATTCGCAAAGTAAACTGCCCTGCATTTGTCACAATTTTAATTACAGGTTTGAAACCTAAAAGTAAATATACTTTACAAGCAGACAATACATTATATTTTACAAACTTGTTTTCATCAAAACTGACTGATTCTCGCTGGTTCATTACAATGCTATGACAGGTCTGATTCAGTACACAAAAAAAAGTATGTGCTTTAGTCAATTTATGAGTCGCAATGAATCGGAACCTTTATCCTAATAATTTGTGCTATGATGTTGACATTAGTTTTCTTGTTATATACTTTGCTACATGCATAACCCATATGAAGATCATGCTGGTGGTTGCAATTGTGACAAAGGTGTTGTAAAAACTTAGTATGCTGTTGACTGTGATAAAGTTGCCTTGGGAAATTATTAGATTATTTGTGATCGTGATAAAACTGCTAATGAAATAATGTTATTGACAGTAATGGCAAAGCTGCATATGGTGATAGCAATGTATATATATTGTACATTTCCAAACACTATTCATTAATCAATTTGATCTGCAATTTTGCTGAAAATGCAGTTTATTTTCATATTATAGATAAAATTTGTGCATGCAGTTTTTGTAGTATTTGATATAAATCTCATAAAAATGATATCAATGCACTATTAAATTTATAATATACACTACAGAAATCAACAATGCCTCACATGGTCCCTTTAAATCAATGATCTGAATACTAGAAATAAAATCAGTTAATATTACATTGCAGGTGTTGTTTTGAATCACATTGATTAAAAAACAAAGTATTTGTAATATTCCTATTTGTGAAGCCTGAGCATCTCATCCAGGCAGTCTGCCATGACATTCAACCGTTTCATGCAATGAATAAGCAAATGTTATATTCAGCCTTTTCATAATCAGTTCCTTCTTTTCATCACAGAATTCACAAAACATTCCTATTTATAGTCTGCATTTCCCTTCAGAAGATTGGGACAAAAACAGCCCAATTTTTCTAGTAAAAACTGAAAATTTAATCATATTTTATCTGTTGACTCCAAGAATTTATGTACAGAAATAGAATTTAAGAAAAAAAGTGTCCGAAAAATTTGGGTTTGAAATTCTGGTGATGAAAAGGTTGATTGTCAGGTGGTGCACTTAATTCCATTATAATGTCAAGTTGAATATAGAAATTATCTCACAATTAATAACTTGATGTACCAGTATATTATTAACTGGTGGTAAAGGGAGATGTCTACAAATTAGTGAAAAAAAAAAAATTTGTTTTGATATTTAAGTTTTACATTGAACTATTAACTATACTTCAGTAAATAATAACTATAAATCCAGCAATAGAGGCCATTTTGTTTTGTAACCTTTAAATAATTAGTTCCCATGGTAACTATGACATATTTCCATATCTCAATTTTTTTGTGTGGTGCCATGGGGTAATATATTATTGACAAGATACTTTTTGTTGTCTTGATTTTTTTTTAAATTTAGGGTAATATAAATTCCTCAAAATACATGTACAAGCATAATATTAGAATTTTTACGAAATATATTTTTGTGCCACTCAACATAATGTTTCCACTTGCAACTAAATCTTTC